AGCAGAATGGATATGCTGTAACTAAACATATTCCCCAGTCTGTCACACACAGACTTTCCCTTTCACATAAAAACACTCTGGGATCTTTAATACCCCATTGTCATCATGCAACACAGTTAAGTTTCTGCACGAATAATACTTTCAACTCCACATTTTGTCTAGCAGATTTGGGACAGCCACCAAAAAACAAACAAGATTGATATCAGCAGTTCACTGGAATAGTACATCCTATTCAGAAAAGACTGGTCTGATTGCAAGTCAAGCCCGTCTGATTGGTCCAAGATATCCAAGTAGTAGATAGTTTACTGCTGAGTACAGAAAGCCCATAAGTTTGAAACTTTGTAACATATCATGTGTTATGATACTAGCTCACTTACCTTGTTCATACCATCCTGAAAAAATCCAGAACAGCTGGAAGGTAAAGTTCTTTGTAGTTTTTGCATCTTGATGCCATAAGCCAAACCTTGTTCTGATAGAGAAGCATGTCTTCAGTCTTGACACCCATTGAGAGGAGAGCAGATAACCAATCAGTTGGGAGGAAAGCTCAGGTGCTCTCAATAACTGTGATGTCAGTTGTGGACCATTAGGAGAAAGGACCTTGGTGAAGGATCACGGCTTTTACTGTTAGATTTAGTAGGGTTTCTAGTGGAGATCCAATCCAATCAAATCTAAAATATGGTCTCCTCTGTCAGCATGAAGCTAGAATCATTACATTTGTTGGGTTTTTTGGCTTTACCTTGTGAATCCTCTTGCAAATCAAGCCTTGGGAGAGCCCACTCTCCATCTGAGAGAGGATCCATTGCCAGTGCCTAGAATTTGCTTCCTTGGTGAACTACTTTGATAGTTTTCTATTCCTGTGACTGGAAAAATGGTCAGTAACTGGGCAGTCATAGCTCTGCAAGGTAAGATTCAGAACTTCATGATCTAGGTCCCATTCTGATTTATTTATTTTTTACTGTTTGCTAGGCCAAGCCTGCCCATTTTCCTTTTTATGTGTTGCTTATATAGAAGAGAGATTATTCTCTCTTCTCAACCAGTCTTCCTAGCTAAATTGTTTCTATGTGTATAATTGAGTTCCCCTTAGATGTTGATCTCTATCACAGTAGTAATGTTTTTGGCTAGATGAAAATATGATCATCATTTACTTGAATTTGGAACCTCAAAGGATTACTTAGGCAGACAAGGTTCTTTGGGTGAATCTGATATCTTTTATTAGACCAACCCAAAGAATCTTGTCTGCCTATGTCCTTAGACCAACATGGCTACAACCTACACCCCTGTAACAAAGGAATTACTTGACACCTTCAGGAGGTTGATACTCTAACTTTTCTGTAAGAGCCTTGTGTTGTTTTGCATGTTCCCCAGTCTCAAAAGGATGGCAGATGAGCACTAGGCCTGTGTGAAACTTTGGGTGCCGATTCGATTTGGAGGAGATTCGGCCCGATTCAGTGGCCAAATCTTGGAATCCGAATTGAATTGGGAGACCAATAAAAAGGTCCGAATCGATTCAAAAAAGATTTGGAGAGCTTTGGAGATTCGGGCAGTCCCCGCTTGCTGCTGCAGGGAGCTGGCCCCGGGCTCTGTGCCAGTAAGTATGGGGCAGGGGGCTGGAGGAGGTGGAATGGGACCCATGGGGGGGGGGATCCCTAGCAGGCCCAATTGGAATCCGAATTGAATTGGGAGACCAATAAAAAGGTCCGAATCGATTCAAAAAAGATTTGGAGAGCTTTGGAGATTCGGGCAGTCCCCGCTTGCTGCTGCAGGGAGCTGGCCCCGGGCTCTGTGCCAGTAAGTATGGGGCAGGGGGCTGGAGGAGGTGGAATGGGACCCATGGGGGGGGGGATCCCTAGCAGGCCCAATCCCATACCTGCTCCCCCAGCCCCCCTGAGTGCCCAACCGCAGCACAGGGCAGCAGGGATCACCCCCCACCCCCACCTGACAGCAGCCAGTGACAGTGGGACTTTTTTTTATGTTTGAAGACCGGGGGGGAGAGGCAGCCATTGATGAGGCTGGGAGATCGGGCAGGGGATGGGTCCTGTCTGATTTGGAGACTCGTCCAATTCGGTGGTGCCAAATCTCCGACTCAGATTCGGCCAAGTTGATTCGGGACAGTGATCTGAATCACCATCCCCTGACTTAGCTGAATCCGAAGCAGCTAATGAGCACCTACTGGACTGGAAGGAACACAGAGAATCTTTTGTGGACACTGGCTGGAAATGTCTACGATCTGGTCATGTACCTGGTTTGGAACCACTACCAAATCTTGAGAGAGCCTAGGACAGGGATGGGCAAAATGCAGCCTGCGGGCCAGATGCGTCCTGCCAGGCCAGTCTATCCAGGCTGAAGGGCCCCTAAAAAAATTTAGAAAATTAATATTTATCTGCCCCTGACTGCCTGTCATGAGGCCCTCAATGGCTTGCCAAAACTCAGTAAGCGGCCCTCCGCCTGAAATAATTGCCCGCCCCTGGCCTAAGGGCACATCTCAGTCAGCAAGGGAAGCTGGACAGGTACTTCTAGAGCTTGAGGGGCCTGATCCTCTGTGGGAATTCCCAGGGCATGCATGTTTGGGTCCCTTGAACCCCTGGAGCACCTGTCTGGGATGATGGGAGAGCGCAGGCAGCTCCCAGCTGCCCATGCTCTCCCGTTATAAAACAGAATTCCAAAGCTAAATAGTAACACAAATTGATACTACCTTCATCTCCACAATTTGTGGTGCAAGGGCTGTGGACATATTTGCTTAGCTTTGTGCTGCCATAAAAAAAAAAATAAAAAAAATTATTGAAGTACAAAGGCAACATCTGTTTCTATAACAACACGCACTCTTTCACAAACTTGCCTGTGGAATGAGACCCTATTCTTCTGAAGCTGCAAATTCAGTCTTTTAGGTTCAGCTCTCAGTGGAAGCACATTCAATTCACTGATAGCAATTTTGAAACACTGCAAAATGATAAACACTACTTGATCCCTGCAGGTTTGTGACTGAACTCCTTGAAGGAGAATTGTATGTCTCCTGCTCCATGATTTTACTCGAACTCTGCTATGTATTTAATGTTATGGCAGTCTCAGATGACGACCCACCATAAGTTGCTCGATTTAAGAACACTTTCACTGCAGATTTAACAAAACGCAAAGAGGGTACCTATATGTAATTTCTAGAACTAGCTACAGGACTCAACCCAAGGTTTAAGAAACTGAAGTGCCTTCCAAAATTTGAGAGGGATGAAGTGTGGAGCATGCTGTCAGAAGTCTTAGGGGCAGCACTTCGACGTGGAAACTACAGAATCCAAACCACCACAAAAGGAAATCAGCCTTCTGTTGGTGGCATCTGACTCAGATGCTGAAAATGAAGGTATCAGTCCACACTGTTTTGAATCATTATAAAGTAAAACCCTGTCATCATCACTATGGAGGCATGTCCTCTGGAATGGTGGCTGAAGCATGAAGAGGCTTACAAAAGTTTAGCACATCTGGCATGTAAATACCTTGTAATGGTGGCTACAAAAGTGCCATGTGAACAGCTGTTCTCACTTTCAGGTGACATTGTAAATAAGAAGCATACAATATCTCCCAAAAATGTAAACAAACTTGTTTGCCTACGCGATTGGCTGAAATGCAGTGAGGTGCATTGAAAAATACTATTTCTTCTGTTTACCATTTTTACAGTGCAATTATTTGTAAACAAAAACAATAAAGTGAGTACTGTACAGTTTGTATTCTGTGTTGTAATTGAAATCAATTTATTTGAAAATACAGAAAAAACCATCAAAAATATTTATTATAAGTGGTATTCTATTACTGTTTAACCGTGTGATCAAAATTGCAATTAATTGTATCTAATTTTTTAAATCTCACAATTGATTGCAATTAATTTTCCAATCATTTGTCAGCTCTATTAATTTTGTAAGTGTTCTCTATCCCAATTTTTTGCAATATTCAGCAGAATCAGATATGGTCATGGTCACTGAGTACAGGGTTTGTTTTGACTGGGTGTCTGTAGTATGGAGGCACAGGTAGCTGATGAGTACCTTACTCCTCCACTGAGGATCTGTCATAAGGGCTATTATTAGGGATACTTTCATAAGGGTAGAGAGAGAAAAGTCATCATCCAAAGCCTTAAGGTCATACAGGCAGGTCAGCTAGTAAACCAGGGATGCTTCAAGTTTAGCCAAGGAAACCATAAAATCCTGTCCGAGGGCAGCTCCAATCTTTCTATCAGTTGCATATTTTTGAAAGAAAGTTTCTTTGGTTGGAATTGTTATATGCTAGAGATGCCACAATTGTGACTTTTGGTATTTCTATTATGGTATATATTGATTCTTGATCTTACAGTGCCTTCATTGCTTACCCTTGATGAGAGTTTCCTATTCCTCCCCAACCACATTGACAAAGGATATTTGCAGCATAAGTTGTGATAGAAAGGAGTAGAGTTGTGTAGGAACCAGGGAGTTTGTGACTCACTTCAGTATTTGTGGATGAATGGCTAAAGATTGCTGAATAGTCACTAGGCAGAAAAAAGCTTGATGGAGGCACTGACAAACAAAACAAAACAACTGCCCCCCACCCCCTCCAACAGAAATAAACATTGCAATTATTAACTTGACTCTAGTTGGGGCAGAAGTACATATGAATACAACTGTATAAAAACTGGCTGGCACAAATCAAAACAGGAATAGCCACTGAAAGACATTTTAATGAACACATTTTTTGCTTAGTTGACCCACATGCAAGACTGAGGCCCATTTGGATCTTACCACTTAGACAAGCTATCTATAAAACACCAGGTCTTGAACAAGAGGAATATACAGAAGCAATAAAAAATACCTAGAGACTCAACACAATGATTCAAAGACTTGCAGCTTTCACTACATACATTTTATTTTTTTTTTATAAAAGGTAGAATCAGATGTACTTTTAAGCTAAATCATTTATTAAACCAATGTTTTTATATATATATATATATATAATTTATCATTAAGATAACTTCAATGAAATGACTATCTACAAAAATGAGTTTGATTGCTTTATTTTTCATGTCATCATACATGAACTGAAATATGTATCTTATGAAAACATGTAATTCTTTATTTTAAAAAATGTACACAGTTTAATAACCACTGCTATGGTCTTAGAAGGGATTTTTACATTTAATTTCAAAAATAAAAACCAGATATTTCATTGGTGTATTTGTTACAGCATAAACTTAAATCATCCTATACAAAGTAAAACATGTTGGTGCAGGCATGAAGGCAACTTTTCATGTTGTCACATACCTTGCATGTTTGCAAAATGCAGAAGTGGGGGCATATTCTTTTGCATTTTTTACACAAAGGCTAAAATAATGTTCCGTTGTAAGCACAAAGTAACATCATTAAAAACAAAACCAGTTTAAATGGCACAAAAGTTAGCATTTTTATAAATTAATAACTGGACTTTCTGATTATGAAAACAGGTACATGAGATTCCAGTATTTTCCTTAGGGCTTTGCTCTCTGAAAGAATACCTGTTAAAAAAATTGCAGATCTTATTAAAGATTGAGGAAACAGATTATACATATGTACAGTATAGTTAGTCAGTATGTATTCAACACATTAACTTTAGGGAAGATTATTTCAAATCCCTATAGCTGTGCCCTTATTCCAAGTTATGAACGATAAAAAAAAAAAAGCAACTCTATCACTACAACCACTCTATAAACCCTCCATCAATTTAATAGATATTGTATGGTTGTCTGTGTCTCCCTCCCTTCCCTTCTGCTTTCCCATTTTTTTCATAGATTCTCTAACAGCTTTTTGTGCTAAAATGTGTGACTTTTTTTGTCAGTACCACCAATTTTCCAGACCAGGGATTGAGCACCCCCTCTTTCTAGTTTGTATTTGAAGTATTGTATTAAGTATGCATTTTCAGTTTTCAAAGCATGTAAAGTTTAATATCTCTCATCACACTTCAGTAAAAATTAAAACTTTTTCTTGTTAATCTAGCATGGGAGTGCTCAACCCCTGGTCTGTGGAAAATCATTTGTGGTACTGACAAAAAAAATGTATGCCTCATGTCTTAGCAAAAAAGCTTTTAGAGGATCGTTGAAAAAGAGAGAAAGCAAAAGGGGAGGGAGGAAGGGAGTGGGGGAGAAGGCAGAAAGGAAAGGAAAAGGGGCAGGAGGAAGAGGAAGAACCACCCTACAATATCTATTGAGTTGCTGGAGAGGTTACAGTGCTTGTAGTAACAGTATTTTTATTTTTTTTCATAACTTAGAATCGGGGAGCACAGCTATATAAAAACCTGTAGATGGGCACATCAATTAAATTAAACAAAGCAGTGATTTTTCAGTATTCAGGCTGTTCTTCCTCAAAAAGAGACTGATTTCAGTCTTTACTTAGCATCAAATAATGCAGCTGGAAGAGATCCTCAAAAAGGTCATCTAGACCAGGTCTCTCAAACTTCCAGCCCAGCTACTGCATTGGTACAGCTCCAGAACCCAGGAGGAAGGGGGTATGAAAAACAAAGACTGAACAGAATAGTCATTTGCAAGAGACACTCCTATTAATACAACTCAGTATATTAGGTGAGAGAGAGAGAGAGAGAGAGAGAACAAACACTACTGACTCATTTAGGTTGCAGTCTTCCATAAATCTAGAAGTCCTTTCCTGCAAGCCTGGCTAGTCATTCCCCAAATTTGTATTTGGGCATATGACTATTCTGTCACAAATGCACCTTGCACTTGTCCTCACTCAATTTCATTTGAGCAATTCTGGACCATTTTTCCAGTTTAAGGTTCTTCTGAATTCCTAGTTCTATCTTCTAAAAAATGTAATGTAACTATCCAGCTTGGTGTCCTCTGCAAACTATGAAGATATTAAAACAGTATCAGACTTAGGGTAGACCCCTGGGTAACCTTACTCAATACCTCCTTCCAATTAGGCAAAGCTATTTATGATTTTTTTAGCACAATGATTCAGTAGTTATTTATCCATTTTACAGTATTTGCATCTTTATGTTTGCAGTTCATAAGAAATGTAGAATCAATCTATTCTTAAGTTGCAGGACCAGAGATATGTTTTAAGCCTATCTTGAAATCACTACCATGAGTTAAGTTAATGTATGTTATTTTCAAAACCTTACCTTTAAGTAATTTTTAAAAACTTTAGCATCAGGTTGCTGAAGCACTTGACAAAACTCCTGGAAATGAACAAAGATTAAAATATTTAAATACTGTAGATACATGAGCAAGAATAAATGCTTGAGATGCATTAAGAATACCTAGGAAGGAGTAATAAAATGTACATTTCAGGCATAACTGATGATCATTCTGGTTTTTGGGGGTTTTTTTTTTAGTTTTTGAGTCTCAGACTCACTGGGACCCTGCCTCTGTTTCAGTTGCCAATAATGTCAATTTTCCTTTTATCAATGCCAATACAATATAGACAGATGTATCCGTGCACCTCTACTTAACATTTATGTATTGTTTCAGTAGCCTATTCAGAGAAAAGCTAGTTACTCAAAGTTTCTCGTTTCTTCAGAGTTGGCTGGGCCAACTATGTACACTAAACTGAAGATCTGTGGGAGGAGTTCTGTGGTGAGGTGCTTTAATTATTCAGCACAGCATCAGTTAAGTTGCTGCAGCCTCATATCCTGCCCCTCCCTTCCCAAACTGTGATTAGTAACTCATTTTTTGTTTTGATAGATCAATGGTGCCCCACCTTCCAGCCCTGTATGCCTGGATCTTGTCTCTCAGCAGTGCAATCTGGCATGCAGGGCCATATCACCACTTCTAGAGGGCCTGAAATTTTGGCAGCAGGGGAGTGGCAATTAATGCCGCCACCTCTCCCTGACTGCCAAAGCCAGATGACACTGTTCCACAGGCCAGGGGTTGAGCAACCCTGTGCTAGATAAAAAAAAGTTTTAATACTGCAACTGTATATTTTACTGAAGTGTGATAGGAGATATTAAACTTACTAACATGTTTTGAAAACTGAAAATGCATACTTAATGCATTATTTCAAATACAGATGAGAAAAAGGTTCCTACCTGGATTATTTCAGGAGCTACCTGCAGGGAAGGCAGATACTCTTGCTGAAGATACTGAATACATTCAGGACCCTAGGGATAACAAGTACACTCATAAATCAAACCAAAGTTTTGTTCAAAAACCAAATGTGGTCTTGTAAAATTAAGGGGGAAAAGGTTGCTGGAAGTATGCTTTATGATACAGAAGAAATAACAAATGATTTGTTTTGGCCTTTAAACAGAGAAGGTATGCATACCTACAGTGCTCCATGTAGTAAAAAGTTTCATAGCAATAATATAAAAGTGTAGCATGAAAGATTTCCCCAGGTTTCAGCATCCCTTATGAGCCTAAAGTACTCCATTACATTTATTTGTTGCATTGAAGAAAATTATTCTTTAAAAAAGAAAGCTTGGCTAAATTAAAGCTGCAGAACTGCTCAAGCCAATTAACTAAATGGAAATTGGGTCCTTCATTTATTACCAACATTACAAAATATGACAAAACTCATTCTTCAAGCATTCAGAGGGAGTGTGCACCAACCATTTTATCAGTCTAGCTGTTAGCTGGGTTATTTTTTTTTTAAGTTGTTGCTACCTAGTAGAAACATTGGTTTGATGAATGGTTGATGAACTGGGCATCCAAATATACCTCCATCTCCAGGGGTACTGCTAATCTTTTCTGTTATCTACTAAAATTATGTAGTTTTTACTGGAAGAAACAGCATTTAGGTCACTGAATTCTTGGCCACAAGGAAGAAGGAAATGTTCAAGATATTTGTTTTTCCAATGTTTGCCAAGTAGCAAAGGTACTTTGTAGGTGCAGAAACAAGATCCATTTGGCCAACTAGCAGAGGCAGAAAGAGCCAAGTAGTTTCATAAAGACTCATTAGTTCTGTTATTACAACTTGGCATTCAATTTTGCTTGAAGCAAAAGGAATGCAATCCAGATAATTCTGTAAGCTATGAGAGTTCTCCAGTGCTAAGAGTTTTTGAAAAGATGGCTAAAACCCCCTTGGTTTTTGGTCACAGTGGACACTTATATACATGAGGGAGCTCTGCTCCGACACTTGCAAGTCAGCACACATTGGAGCAGGCTCGACTGTGTCAGTTGCGAGTCTGCTGGAGTGTACTAATTAGCGAACTCCAGCAGCCTCCGTGTCATGTATATTCAGAGTCCCCACATTTTAAAATGGTGGCAGGGGTACCATTGAACGAGTTTAGTTAAAGTGCCCCTGCCACCATTTTGAAGTGCGGGACGCTGAATACGTGATGCTGCAGGTGCTTTAATCAGAGTAGCTCTCAGAGCCTCTCTAATTTAAGCGCCCTTCCCGGGACATATGTATAGACGCCCCAAGGCATGCAAATGTGTGTGCACATGTGCACACATTCACAGAATGTTGACCTGTTAATAGAGACTATTCAGTTTTTATACTATTTTTTTAAATAATGAAATCACTTTAAGTGAAGAGATCTTTCACATATAGATTACCACACAATATAACTTTAAAAATGCTGAAAGCAAAGAATCTAAGTTAGTATTTGTGAAACAGAAGAATAAATTTAACAAGACCGTGATTATGCTGAATTTAGGAAAACATCTGAATTAGTATAGTATTAATATATAGAACAGGATGGCTAATGTATTTTGCAATCCATTGCAACAGGTTACTTTTGTGAATTTCTGTGGACCCGAAGATCTTGTGAAGTCCCTTCCAATCCTAATGTCTATGAAATCTATTACATTTCCCTAGTTTTAGATTTTTCCTTTAGTCTAAAAAACACTTTCCCATCCTTTGGGATTATTTTAATTTTGAGGATTCTCCCTTAGGATACATTTAGTTTACACTAAATTTTAAAAGTCTTACCCTTTTGAGATGAATTGTTTTTAATGTTACTGCACATTCTGATAAAGCCTGCAAAAAATTACTAGGATTAACACAAATTTAAGATTAAGGTACAAGCATTTAAGTACAGACAAGTGTTTGAATATTAAATTATTGTACTATAAGTTTATACCAGGGGACTCGGTCCTGCAGTTCTCTCAAATCAGCCTGAAATAAGTGCAGGTGGCTTGCAGAATTCAGCACCAAGTCTCAACCTCCCCTCCCCCAAACCCCTCATCTAGTTTTTTTGTGACATAATATACCGTTTGATATAAAGTCTCGACCAAATCAATGCTTTGATGTTGTATGCATTTTTCATCTGTAAGAAGTTGCTAAATATGAGGGAAATGAAGGTTCTATAATTAACCAATAAAAGGTATATACCAATACTGTCTGTGCATCTGCCAAGTCAAATGTTTGTTTTAAAGGTGCCAAGAAACATGCAGGAACAATGTGTTTGTAGACAAAGTCTGCAAAACCCACTGGTCCATCTTTGCCTCCTGGAAAAAAAAAAAAGCAGTAGTCAGTATTTTACTTTCTAAAAACTTGCAAAATCAGAAAGCCATCAATGCAACCTTACCCCAAAGCTCTACCAACTTTGAAAGAATAATAAAGCAAGTTTTCTGTGCAATAGGATCTGGATATTCCACTGCTCCTTGAATGATAGTGATCAATATTCGCTCCACGTTCTCGGCACCTATAATAAATTACAGTAAATTACATTCTTAAAGAATAAACTCAGCTGTGAGTGAATAGCTAATTATTTTGTAATTCAAGAAATGTGATTTCTGAATTAGGGAATCAGACTCTAAGAGTTATATTCTCAATACACAAAACATTACAGTAGAAGAGTATCTCAAATATTCTGTGAACTTAAAAATGGGCATCTATGGCATTTTTTTTTTAAATTGTAATTAAAATACATGTCTCCTGCCAGCTTCACAATTTTGCCAGACCACCAATAACATTGTTCTGGATGAAAGAAATCAGATTTTGAACTGCAGAGATAGCCATAGATTAAAATTCCTTTTGGGTTATGGCACAACTGAAGTTAATATAGTCACTGGCAAAGAGATATATGAAAGATAGGAATTTGATTCGTCTTGACAAATATGGCTGTGACCAATTCTGTGGGTGTCTGACAGAAAGCCTATAAAATCTTCTGTATTTTTCCCCTCACAAGTAATCTGCTAAAGTCTATATTTTTGTAGAGCTTTATAAATCAGCAAAAACACTGGAAGTGGGATATGTCCACAGAAAGGATTCATCTATCAAATTTACAACTAAAAAAACCCTCCCAGAATCAAAAATAAATGTTCTTTAGCTAGACATTAGAGGAGAGGTGGGTGCGGTGGTGGGGAGGGAGAAGAAAATGTTTCAATACTTTAAACTGATACGTGCTTCTCATTTCTGCATGAGGCCAGGACAATTAATCTAGGGAGTGAGGACAGAAGGACGAATCGTGAAAGCTGTCATTACACTAGTATTTTGTCTTTCTAAAGGGTATTTGCATACGTTTACCAGAGCTAACATTCAATAGCTACCAATCTACCCTCTGCAATTAACAAAGAAAAACTGCCATGCTCTATCATGTCAAGCACCCTGCTGCAGAATGCAGTTGGTAGCAAATATTCAGAGGAAGGTGCAATAAGTCTCAGGGAGCAGCTTGCTCACAGGCAGAGCATCTCCCTCTACTCCACCGAGTCACTGTTTTATACCCTGGAGCATGAGCATCTTAGAAACCATAGAAGTTTTATCTTTGGAAGCATCTAATCATTTTTGCAATCCTAAAACACTTGGCCTCAATGATAGTTCAAGACAAGTTCCTGAAGTTATTAAATTTGATACCTAAAACTGTATTTCCTTATGTTTGACTGTCCTTAAATAAAAGAAGGAAAAAAAATATCAGGAACTCAAGGTTTTAGCTTCTCTATTTTATTTGTTCTGTTATCCCTCTATACAGGCTTAGTTTTCCATCCAAACTGAACTTGTCTAGTCTAATCTTTCTATGCTTCATATGAAATTGTGCCTCATCATCACTTTTGTTACCCATGTGTTTTCTTTGAGACAGACTGACTACAGGTGAGCACAGTAATCCAGGAACCAAAATAAGGGCATTAAAGTATTTGTTAGCCTATTATTTACATATTCTAATGTTTTAGACCCTCTAACTTCTGAAGCACACTGAGTGCAAGTCTCTGTTGATGTCCCACAACAGCACCCAGCTGCAAAAGCTGCTCTCCCCTTCACTGCAAACTTATACAGCTAATTTAAAAACTCTGCAATGTTTGAGAGGTCCATTTTCCACCCCCACCCCCAACAGGAATGGAGATGCAGTTACATTTCAGTCTGTTTCCCATATATACTCAGCTTTATATGGTAACTTTAAAATACCTCAGTTGTTTGCTAAATATTATGCCATGTGCAAGTTTCCCACCTCACTTTGTTAGATACTCAACAATCAGTTGCTTCATACATTTTTGGCATAGATTTTTATAGCCTCGCTTACATAAAATTTCATATTTTTGTTACTTTTCTCAAATGTCTCAATATTTCCTTCCATTACAGCTTAAAGCCTGACTCTGCATTGAGTCAACAAGACATCTGACATTTTCAGTAATAAGAAGCCCAAAATTTGTACTAGCTGTTAAGGGTGGTGTAAAGAGGCTGGCTAGGTATCTAGGGAGTTATATGGAGGCTTTGTCCTCAGAAGAAAGGGGAGACAGGGGGAACAGCAAGCGTAACCACGGAAGAAAGAGCAGCCATAACTGCTGTCCACTTAAGTGCACAGATAGTGAACTATAGCTTCTGCTGGCAGACACTAAAACGTGCATGTATACCAGCACAACATTATCCACTTATAATAAAGTATTCCATATAATGATTTCTCTGAAGTATGGCAGATGACTTGACCGTATTATAAGCATTTCCAGTGAAATAAACATTTATAATGGGGCTGTACTATTTATCTGACATTACAACAACATATTGACAAAATAACTAAAAATGAAAGTATTCACATATTTTCATTAGAAACACTACAGACTTCTTTAGTCAAAATTAAGTGCAGCTCATTTACAATTAATTAATATTGATATAATTTAGGAGAATTGGACTAGTGATGACTTTGGAAAATAAAACTTTACTATATAAATGTTATTTATAGTCCATTTCCAAAAGTGATTGCTCACCCTGATTAGCTATGACTTCACTCATACCACTACCAGTGACCGTCTGTAAGAAGGCAAAATAACTCCTCCGTAACATTTGCTTTTCTAAAGCAGCAGACTGGTCATTTTCTTCTGCTGGGCGGAGCAACACTTCAAAAATAGCATGAAGTAGCGGCATAAACATTTGCTGCAGAAATGGAGAAACCTGGGTCTGTAGAAGTAGGAAACACATTATAAACTAATTCATTAATTACAAAGACTGAACACCTGAAAATTAAAAATCACAGTTACAAAAGGAAAAAAAAATCACCACAATTTTCAACTTTTGGTGTAACTTTCAGCATGTGGATATACCATACATAACGATACACACACACAAAATTATATACCTATGGATCCATTTATCCTAGAGCTACTATAATATCTTCTCCGTATTTACACTAGTGAAAGTATTCAATCTCTGCTTCAGATCTAGAAAGCAGGCATTTTACCCACAGAAAAAGGGGAAACAATCCTAGACTTGCAATAACCCAAGCAACATTTATTTTAAAATTCTGTAAGACCTCAAACTGATGGAGTTCAAAACGTGGCATCTTGAGAAAATCTGTTTTCTGTTACCTTCAGAGATGTGTTAAAGTTGACAGTGCCCTTTCAACCCTTCAAACTTTCACGTTCCCTCTTCCTTGAACAAAGTCTAATAGATAAACTTGAAATCGGAAGGTTACCTGGATTTCTTCAAATTTGGCAGTTTTATAAACTGATGTGACCATCTGTTAGAAGAACAGATTTTCATGAACTGCTAAACTGACCTTGTGGCAATGCAAGTGTCACATTTGTATTTTCTTATAGTGAGCAGTCCATAAGATACAGGGTGTAAGGCAATCCCTATTTACTCTCAGGTGTCTCTGCCATGGCAATTTACTTCCCTCCACCTTATAGTGAATTACCTTCAGTGTCAGTGTCAACTGTGAAGCAGCTAAGGAGAAACATTATAGTATGAAGAAAGTTCTTCCTTCCCCAACCTCTCAAAATGTTCACATTCCTTCTCCACCAGTGCAGAGAGTAGAACCCCAATAGCTGAATCCCCAATAGTGCACCAGTGCCCAAATGTCTCAGGTGATGGTGGTTGTGCCATATCACCACGTTAGCTCACCAACCATACTAAATTCTCTTTAGCATATTTAGGTTTCAAACTGTTGTTTGTTGCACAAACGGCTAGTTTTGTGCCCCTGGAGGCTTGTCCAATCCACCTCTAGGAGAGAGTCTCACACACAGGCTGGGTCTAATTTTAGATTTATTGTTTGCAAACAAGTTCGACAAGGGAGCTTAATTTATTTAAATCTGTGTCGACCCCAAACAGAGTCTGGGGTTTTTTTTTATAGCTAATATAAACAAAAGATTTTAACGTGTCGCGTAATTATTGGTAGCCCAAGTATTATGTCTTATAACATATGTCTAGCAGGTACATGTTCTATGATGGTTTATATATATGTTTTATTTACATCTTAAATCTCCTCCCTGGGGCCGTCCTTAAGTCTATTTCGGTCATTTTTTGGTCAAGGTCTGAGTTCTTTACATCAGCACCTTTCCCTGTGCCTCTTTTCTTATCTCTCGTAAGGAGTTATTTGTTGCATCTGTTCCTGGCTATGTCTGCAGAAGTCTAGTGTTACTCATAAATCTATCATTGGCCTATATACCTTAGCAGAAGCAAGTGTGATAATATGCAGAAGCAATTATGTAGTGAAACTAAACAGTTCTCAGCTGTGAAGCTTTTGTGTAGGGAGATGAGACTTTTTACCACACAGCTGCTACACAAACGTTATTGCAAAATCATAATGACTAGATTATAACATATTTTTACCACATGTTCAGCATATTTCAGAAGAAACCTTCAACGGAAAGATAGGTTTGAAGATTTCCATGCACCACAGCTTCTGAAACATTTCTGTGAGGGATCAATTTCTGTAGGTAAATTCAGAGTTAAGTCCTATCCTAGTCATAATTATATATTATTGTAGCAACTGAACATGGGAAAGCTGTAGGTTGATAAGACAACCTAAAAAAGCACATGAATTAACAGACTAAAAAAGCCAATGCGTGACCAACCAGCTCTTGAAAAAGCCATGGTTTAAGAATTTCTACTCTACAAAAGTATAAGGATGTGACGCATCCTGAACATACATGTACACAACTTCCCAAACAGTGTTGCTCCAAAGACACGTTATCTAGGTTTAAGAACCCTGCACTTGTGTACATCTCTTGTAAAGCAGAGCAACCAGCACATACTTCTGGTAAAATAATACTATACCCTGCTCTTGTAAACCAGTGTTTCTCCCTATATATTACACACCTAGTGGTGTAACTAGGGCAGAGTAGCCAGGGCATCCGCGCCAGGCATAGACTGGCAGGGAGGATAGGAATGGACACACAACAGCTGCTGCTGATGTGCAATTGCAACAGTGGCAGCAGCAACTGGAAGTCACCGCTGCCCCTGAGCACAGCACCTGCTGTGGACACCCAGCTTCACTGTTACACCTCTGCACACACCACCATGTTTAAAAAAGCATGCATACCTGTATATTATGCCTGTACATACCTGTAAATTTCGCTATAAAAGAAAGAAGATTCACTTCAAGACAATTTAATAAAACTTAACTGACATTAAAAAAAATAATTAGCAGATATACTTCTTGCCTATTCACCTTGACTTCACAATTGAAAACAGACTATCCTTATATCAATATATGAAGTTTGCTTTTAAGTAGTAAAATACCAAAATATACAGGCTGTAAATACAATGATATCTTCAGATGCTTTTTGGGATTATTACAGTCAAAATACTCATAATATAAATACTTGTGTATTGAGCAATTCTCTTCCTAAGACTAATTTTTCCTACGGAAAAATCCTTCAAAGCTGAAAACAGAACTTAAAGTAGTTTTCTTCACATATTACTAACCCTTTTGCTAGAGCTAAAAACAAGAAGTTTAGTAATGCCCTAATCCATAAACAGTTAAAGAAACATACCTTGAACTTAGCTGTTATTTGATTTATGAGAGGAATGAATTCTTGAAGATCTTTTGCTTCACAATCCTTAAGCATATGTTCTGAGGCAGAAGGGATGAATGGAAGAACTTCTTCTTCTAAGCAAATAATCATGCGATGAAGGAAAGTGCGGACGCCACTTCTGAGAACTTCTTTCTGTAAGGGACAGCTGAGAGCTGGCAAAAATGTCTGTAAGCAGTCCAGATATACTTCAGAGCAGCCACACTGTTTTACTGTCTGCTTGTTGCTGAATGCTTTGCTGGTTCGGCTGTGCAACAAAAGTAAGAAGTCACTTGAGTTACCCACTAGTTCATGTCCCAAAGACAAAAAGGAAATTAAGACATCTAGAATAAACCATGCTTTAAAAGCTTAACACAGCTTGCATGTACTCTCCAAAAATATTGGACGTCCTGATAAAGACAAACCTAGAAAATATTTAGCATTCCCATCACTAAACATCAAATATAATTTACTTCATGCTAAGTCTCAGTGCTCTGTTCCTTTAAGTCTGAGTGAATTTACTGTTCACAAATAAAGGAGAGGCTGAGGGAACTGGGCTAATTTATTTTGGAGAAGAGAAGACTGAAAGTGGATTTAATAGCAGCCTTCAACTACCTGAAGGGAGATTTGAAAAAGGATGGAGCTAAACCATTCTCAGAGGTGGCAGATGACAGAACAAGGAGTAACAGTCTCAAGTTGCAGCAAGAGAAGTTTAGGTTAGATATTACAAAGAATTCTCTCACTAGGAGGGTAGTAAAACACTGGAACAGGTTACCCAGACAGATGGTGGAATCTCCATCCTTGGAGGTTTTCAAGACCTGGCTAGACAAAGCTTTGGCTAGAATGATCTAGTTGGGAATGCTCCTGCTTTGAGCAGGACATTGGACTAGATCCAGGGCAGGCAATTATTTTGGGTGGAGGGCCGCTTACCAAGTTGTGGCAAGCTGTTGAGGGCTGCATGGGTAGCCCTGCCCCTTGACAGGTGCCCTGCCCCATGGTCATCACCTCGGGACCAATGTCCCAGGGCCAGCACTGGTGGGGCCCAGAGCGAGGCTCAGGCTGGTAGGGGTCTGTGGAGCCAGGCTGGGCTGCACCAGCAGGGAGAGGGGGGACCTGGCCCGTCCCCATAGAGCCCCTGCCAGCTGGGACCCTGTGCCCCTGCTGCCCTGCTCTGGGCCCTGTTGGCACTGGGACACAGGTGCGGGCCCTGCTCCCATACCCACTCACTTCCAGTGCCCCCCAGCCCCGTGGTACAGGTGGTGGGGCAGAGCACAGCCCTGACCCCCTGCTCGCTGGCAGGGAAGGAGCTGGCGCGGAGCACGGGAGAAAAGCGGTCCCTCGCCTGCCCCGTGGCCGGTGCTTCCTGCTGCAGCTGTTTGCAGCCCACATGGGGAGCTCGTACGCTGGGCAGCAGCAGCAAACACTGCCTGGCGCAGCCAGCAGGGGGGTGCTGCAGCTGCCGCGGCGCAGCCCTGACAGGCGAGCCCGGAGTCAGCACGGGACACAGGCTGGCAGCGGGGTCGGGTTACAAGCTGGTGCTGAGCGCAGGAAAAGCAGCCCCTTGCCCACCCTGTGCCCAGTGCTGCAGCTGCTCGCTGCCCACGTGGGGCTGCCTGTGCCTGCTCAGGACAGTCCCATGCGGGCTGCAAGCAACTGCAGGAGGGAGTGTGGGCCACGGGGAGGGGCGGGGCCGCTTTTCCCTGGGCTCAGCCCCAGCTAGTCCCCTGCCCTTCCCTCCCGCCCCCCTTACCTGAGTTTCTGGCGCTGGGGCAGCCACATGGTCTCATACCAGAAGGCCCTGCTGGGGCTTCTGGCTGGGGGTCTGGGTGGGCCCTACTGTTGTGGGAGTCCACTGGGGCTTCCCCTGGGTCCTACTGCCCCTGATTCCTGCCATCTTTGACAGGAACCAAGGACAGATAAATTTTATTTTTCTAAATTTTTTTTAGGGGCCCCGCAGGCCGGATCCAGCCCACGGGCCGTATTTTGTCCTCCCCTGGACTAGATGACCTCCAGAGGTCCCTTCTGAGCCAAATTTTCTATGATTCCAGCAAATGATGTCTGATTAACAATACTAGAGAGTTTTTATTTGAAATAATAGTTTTCATGAGACATTTAGTAAAGTTAATCAAATCTCAGATTTCTGAATACACTATATGCTTGTATCATCAGCCACCTTTCCTAAAAAGGTTCTATCTCTAGAGCACTTTCTAGACTGCATAGAAAGACTGTCAGCAGAAAGTTTCCTAGGGACAATAAAATTGTTGAAGAGAAAAGGAATAGGAATCAATTATCTTAAAACTTTTCTTTAGTCAACATGTTAAAATAAGTATTATTATTTTTAATTATGCTGTACTCACCTAGCAAAGCCAACTGCATGATTGAGGCAGTCAGCCAGTGCCATCTGTCTGTCTTCATCTTGTGCCATCATCAGCTTTTCTAACAGCACTTTAAATTTTTCCATTAGTGGAGTCAACAGATTCCTCATGAGGGCCTGTTTTCTTTCTGCAGAATATTCACTGTTAACTATCAGGACCCCAGCTGTTTCATAAATAAACAGTTGATCATCGCTGCTTAATAAAGCCTGGTAACCATTTTCCTAAAACAGAAGACATTAGTGATTTATGTTGAATATATTTTTAATTGCTGAAGTTCTTTCATTTTAACCCTATACAAAAGCCAAGGATATATAAAAGGACAAGTAGTAAAGAGAAATTGCTACAGAACAACTTACTTTTCGACAAAAAGTCAAATTCATTACTAGACACAAATTATGCTCCACTTCCTTTCTTTTCCTACTTAAGGTATAAGTATCTGAAGAAGAGTATCACTTCCAATTGTACGTGAAAACAAAAACAAAACAAAAATCAGTAGGAGTATCAATTCTTTTCATACCCTTCAGTTTCAAAAACCACTAGTATTTAGACAGTATCTTATCTACATAAACATTTTTAAGTCCATACTTCTGGGACCAGATTTAGCAAGATACTTCAGCCTATGATCACAAACATTCTCACTGAACTCTGATAAAGTCAATGGGATTAACTCATATGTTCAAATTTGAAAACACGCTCAGTCAGTTCTTGCTAAATTCTACTTTTGTTCGTGCCCCATATGAATTTAAATGCACCTAATACATGCATTAAAAACACTTGTAAGTACTTACAGGTGGAGAAAGTTCTAGCAGATCTTGTATCCTGTTCAAAACATCTTCAATAAAGGGATTCATTTGTTTACTGAAGTAAAAAATAATGTAAATTAGTAATATATTTATAGAAGTCTGATTTTTTTAAAAATGCTTAGTATCTTCTGTTGAATCTGTGCTAAGTAAATAAGTCACCCCTTAGAAAGTCATAACAGTGTTGTAAAAGATGATCCTGCCCTGAACTGGAGAGAAAGAGAAAGACTGGTCCAAGACAGGTCAGTACATGGCATTATGGCAGGGGCGGGCAATTATTTTGGGCGGAGGGCCACTTACTGAGTTTTGGCAAGCCATCAAGGGCTGCATGACAGGCAGCCAGGGGTAGATAAATATTAATTTTCTTAATTTTGGGGGGGGCCATGCAGGCCGGATAGAATGGCCTGGCAGGCCACATCTGGCCCCCAGGCTGCATTCATAGATGTTAGGGTCGGAAGGGACCTCAATAGATCATCGAGTCCGACCCCCTGCATAAGCAGGAAAGAGT